AATTGAATTTATTTACATTCCGTAAATCCAGTACAGGTGAGACACCATAGGATATGGAACAAGTCAAGTTAGAATACATAGTAGCTATACAATAATACAGTAATATTGCAATTAAATGAGGTAAACTTATAATACTTATAATACACATTAAACAATGATCAAGAAATTTATCAAGATTTATAATGGACTAAAATAAAATAAAATTTCCATTAAGACATTCATTCATTACTCATTCCATTAATCAAGTGCGTCAAATTAAAATGCATATAAAAGAGACAATCAATAAAAAAGAGACAAATAAAACAGGATAATTACATAATTTGTAGTTTATGACATATTTCTATATCAGTTCATTTGTTGTCACAATCTGTGTGTTCTCTTACATTACACATTATACCCATTTCTGTTGGTAGTATTCTTTCATGGAATAAAAGGAGTGATGAAGTAAAAATCTCTTTAGTGCTCTCTTAAAATTTGGTACATCCAAAGTCAACTCTTTTAAAGTTTGAGGTAAATGGTTGAAGGCTTTAATACCCGCCACATATGCACTAAAATGAAATGGAACATATTATTTGTTACAGCTGCCATAATCCTGATGCCAGGTCTCCCTGGGATTCTGGTAGTTGCTGTTCCCCTGTATGACATTCTGCTTATGACTATGGTGTGGAGAGCCACTGCCCGGGTTCAGTTCTTTGAGGTAAGCATTACTGTGCATTTGGAGGCAGTAAAGTGAATGATATAGGATGGATTGCTGCAGGAAAGTTTGGTGTTTCTTTTCACATCTGGACCAGCTATGGGGCTCATTCCAACTCTTATCCAAATCATTCTGGGAATCAAAGAGTTCTCTCTTCTAGGATATAATGCCATATAGTCTGGTGAAAGTCAACTGACATGTCAGAGGAACATACCACCTGCATATGGTATACAGGGCTGAAGAATGAGCCAAGCATGAAACCAGCATGAAGCAGGAAGCATGCAATCAACTACATGATGTGCTATCTCCGAAGATGGAACTCTTTATAACCACCGCTGTGATAGCCTCAGCTCCTACACTGTGGGAATCATTTCCTTCATAGTACAGCAGATGAATATGGAGTTCACTACTCATCTCTGTTTAGTGCCAGGCTGAAGAAAATACGAAGCTTTATCTCCGTCCCTATCCACCATCATGTCCTTATGTGAATAATTCAGATGAGGTGGCAGTGTACCTGGAGTTCAGATGCAGTATTCAACAGAAGTTTAGTACACTGCCATATTTTGCAATGACATCAGTACTGAAAAGCTAATACATTATACCTAATTAGAATCTTTTGGAACATACTAAACTGACAGCTCTTCTTATGGGAACTGAGACTGACTGTGCTTATGGGAAGGTTGTTAAATTTAGCAGGCAGAACTTTCATAAGTGAATAACAAATATATTATTATTTAAAGAATGTAATATTTTTGTCCAAATAAGCAAACTACACCAACAGTTCACAGTTAATGATAATTAGGGATGGCAGTATATTTATTAACTTCTTATGGAAGAAACATAATTTTAGTACACGCCACTCTGCAGAAACATGAACACAAAAATGATACTTTTTACAGATGTCACTATTATAAGAGCCCATGATATTCACAGTCTGTTCTTAATTGCAGACACGTTCTTGACTTCATATGTAATTTTAATTCTGGCTGTTGTTGATTACATAATTTTGATATTATCCAGACATCATTCTGTTCTTTCTGTATGACTCATTTCAAACTTCGAAACAAATGTGGAACCTATTTCTTGAAAAATAAGAGGTTTCTCTGATGTTGCAAGGTATTTCATATGGTTTTAGAAATATGTGGAGCTAAAGATTCATACATTGTTGACCTAGGCATGGATAGATGCAAGAAACAACGTTCATACTCTGACTTGACTTCATAAGACAGAGCCCCTTATAACTGTTTGGCAGAATAGGTCAGTCCCAGAGCCTCAAACAGCATAGTGAAGACATAAATTCCTATTCCTCTGCCTTGAAGATCCTGTCAGGACAGCCATCCTACAAATGCTCAACCATGATGCTTTGGTTTGGTCTGGAATTAAAAGGAAAAATGCCAAAGATATTTTTCCAAGAAAATGTAGAATCAAATTTTGTGAACAGACCAATTGATATAAGCAGCGATTTATGAGTATGTGCCAGTGAAATTCAGTTCTTACTAATTTTGTTCAGAATTAAATACTTTGTACATAACATGTCAGTACTTTTGAGCTATAAGATTTTACAGAAAATTTTTAAAATTGTAGCAACCCCATCTACAGATCTCATCAGTAATGGATTTATGCTGTTTAGGAACTCTGGACCTGGACAAAATTATGTTCCTGTGCAGGAGGCATCGTCTTCGCAATCTCTGACACTCTCATCGGCTTTCATTATTTTCACAAGCCCATTCCTTATGCACAGGTAAAATATTTATTATCTATTAGTAGTATGTTACTTCATTTAAAAAGTTATTAGAGCTTAAATATTACCCAGTTCCTTCACATGCAACACCTAATAAGACTGCTGTCTTCTGAGATGTGACCACATGTAGTCCGGTAGAAGTTTACAAACATTTGGAGGAATGTTCTACTGTTGTGCCCGGATAGGGGGCAGTAACTGTACTCACCCCCTATCGGACGTCCGTGGATATCACTTAACCTATGCTGTGGAAAACATGCTTCACTAGGAGGGTCACAAAAACTCGAGTTATTGTTTATTGTTTATTGTTATTAAATAACTCCACAAATCCTGTACAGGGGCTTTAGCACCCATAGGATATAGAGCTCGTCAAACTGATACAATCTCATACAAAACATAAAAAGATACATGATGTAACATTAAATCATGCCATATCATAACAACATAGATTCATACACTGTTAGAAATACAACCTTTTACTTCTTACTACACAAGTTCATTCGTCACAATCATTAAACATTAATCATAAAACAATATCACACAATACTAAGTAATAAACATAATTAAAATTAAAAAATATAACATACAGTTAATCCCATTTACATCCAATCAGTATTTACAAATTATTTCGATTAAAAAACTCCTCTAATGAATAAAATGACCACAAGCAAAGATATCTCTTTAATGCTGGTTTAAACAATTCAATTTTATATGATAATGATTTTATATTTATAGGAAGATGGTTAAATATCCTCATTCCAATAGCATATGTCCCTTCATTATATATTGTTAATCTAGCAGATGGAAAATGAAGGTCAGTATTGTGCCTAGTATTTAGACCATGAATTTCTTGATTAGTTTTATAAAGATGCTTATTTCTCACAACGAATATCATCAAAGAAAATATATATTGAGAATAAAATGGTAAAATTTCCCAATCTTTAAAAAGTTGTCTACAAGAGTCTCTGCATCTAGTCTTAGTCATAATACGGAGTATTCGTTTTTGCATCTTAAAAACACTAAGACTATGTGGTGAATTACCCCATAATAAAATACCATAAGATAATAATGAATGAACATATGCAAAATATATCATTCTTAGAGTATTCTCCGTCATAAGGGGCGTGACAATCCTGATAGCATAACAAGCGGAACTTAACTTTTTTAAAACATGTTCAATGTGCCCCTTCCATGACAACTTTTCATCAATAATCAATCCTAGAAACTTGATATTAGTAAGATCAGTGATATGCTTATCTGCAAAAGTAATGTTTAAATCAAGCTTCTGACTGTTTTAGTCCGAAATTGTAAAAGATGTGTTTTGTCAAAATTTAAATAAATCAGATTACTCCTAAACCACTTATTTAAGTCATCAAGAGTGGTATTTATCTCCGTCAAAAAGTGTACAGGATTAGAACCAGTTACAATCATACTGGTGTCATCAGCATACAGCACTAATGTATTATTTTTAGAAACCGTCAAAGGCAGATCGTTAATAAATAAAAGAAAAAATAGAGGGCCCAAGATAGATCCCTGCGGCACCCCGTGTTTGACTATCTCCCATTCAGAGTAACTATTTCTAGAATTATTTTGAATTATCACCCTCTGGTATCTCTCTGTAAGGTAAGATTTAATCAAGGCATTGAATTTCCCTACAATGCCATACAATGCCATACTGTTATATTACATTGCATTCCATAGATCCAGAGTTAGTCAAATGACTGTAGGATGTGGAACATGTCATATAAATACAAAGAATATCTNAATCTCCTGGGTTGATGTATTTACAAACTTAATCCTAGGATAGGCTCGTTCTGTATTTTGAAGACTATTTATGGCAGTTGTCTCATTTATATTTAGACCTATTATTTCGTCTGCTATTGACAAAAAATATTTATTAAAAATACTTGATATTATGTTCTCCAAACAACAACAAAAATGGAATATATAATCAAATTAAAACACTTATACACCTCTAAATTCTAAAAACACATTAACCCACCAAAATAATTTAAACCAGAAGTTCTAATAAGCCATCAGTGACCCGACCACGGGCAAGTACTCACACACGCTAAACATGATGCACATGAAGAACACTGGTGCCATTCCAAGGTTTTCCACAGGCACACTTTGCTTTACTCGTTCGTTTCTGGCAACTGCTAGAAACAGAGTCCTGAAACGGCCTGTTTTCCCAATTCCAAGATTCAACTTTTTCCCAAGTTGCGAAAGCTGCGCGTGCAAAATCCCTGAGGTCGGCATCTTGCCGGACATGCCGTGTCGCGCTAAGCGAAACCTGACCGGGTCTTTCCACTGATGCTTAAACAGTCTTTTCTAAAGACAATTCGATCGACTGCCGAGGAATGCGAAGAGTCAGCCGCGGTTCTGTCTCCTTGCCTTCCGGCCAGCCGTCTGGCGTTTTAACATAAACATTCAATCTTACAAAAATTATACTTAATAACTAATGAAATGGGCTCAACACTACCTCCATCTTCAGGATCAAAGAGTATGAATGAATGTATGAAGGGTAGGCCTTCTCGGCCCTTGCACTGCGACCTACAGTGGTCTAAGTCACGCAAGTAGAATGCAACACATCCCTCCCTTCAAGAAAAATGACTACATAGTACTGCATTCCAGAAGATGGTACTCTTCAAAGACACTGCCATGAAAACATCAAAATCTCATAATAAGTAAAAACTTATTTAAGACTGCATATGTTTAACAATGCAGTAAGTATATATTTCTCATTAACTATATAATAGAAAATCTTCCTTGAACAGGTGTTATTTAGTTGATCAAAAAATTCCATGATTCTAACTTAGCAACAGTTTATCCTTGTGTTCCAAACAACCAATTACTGGAATTCATTCTGAAACATTTCAGTCCAGTTCCCTTTCATTGACTGTTTTTCTGAAATCCAGGTTACTGTTATCATCCTGTTTCTGCCTATCTTCCAAATGGTATCTTACTTTCAGGCTTTCAGCCAAAATTTAGTATATGCATTTCTTGTATCATGCAATGCTACATGTCCCAGCCATCCTGTTCTTGATATAATCAACCAACATAATCCAGTACAGAATTTCCTCTATGCCTTTGTTACTTTATATACATATATCTTTTTTTGGTGCAAAGAATCTGTTCAGCACTTCATTTTAAAGGCCTTCCAGTAAAAGAAATGTCAATTGCATTACAAAATTGGAAAAGTGGATTTAGGTTGTGACTCTCATTATGCTCCTCTGCACATAAATGGTACATTTCAGGTTTCATATATCTGTGAAGTGGAATGGAAGTACCTTGGTTCAAAACCCCTAAAAGGGAAACCCTATTTCTTGTACATGCAAATGTGACAGTGGAATGAGACAGACAGTTCTTGAATTACAGAGTGAAGAATTTTCTCATCACAGTTCATTTTAGCTTCATCATGCGAATTTTGCTTTAGTTTGATCACATGGATTGTCCCTAGGTAAAATATGATGAACTTATTGATGTCAGATTAGTGCTACATTAGAGCTGATCAATGATCTTCGAGTTCAGCTTGTGAATCATACATGAATAAATAGTATAATCTGAAGGTATGCCATACGCTAGTGCACAGTGGAAAAAATCCAAGTTTCTGAATCTAGAAAAATTTTTCAGTCACAAATAATTGTAAGCAGATAACAAAAAATGTGTTTTCAGTACTCCTAGTTTGCTTAAAAACAAAAAAAAAACTTATGTGGTGGTACATTTTTTCAGATGACTATAGCAGAATTATAGGAAATGTCTTATTACAAGAAACAACTGGTGTCAAATTTAGTGTATAACACACAGAATTCAAGAACAGTATAGCCTAACTGTCACTGTTCCTTCCATATGTGTTATTTCTTCAAATGCTGAAACACCTATCACATACATTATATAATGAGTGTCAGTGAGAGAGACCTAGAATCATTACATCACACAATCCAGGACTCATATCCTAACTAACTTCATGGAGCTGAGCCCTTTTGAGAAGCTGCCAGTTGTGCAGCTACTCAAGAACTTCCCAGCATTCTACGGAACTTGAAAGTTAATTACTGTGTTCACAAGAGCTTTCTACTAGCCCCTATCCTGAGCCAGATCAGTCCAATCCATATTATTATTATCCACCCGCCTATATCTTGGTCTTCTTAATGGTCTCTTTCCTTCTGACTTTTCTGCCAATATCCTATATGAATTCTTCTTAACCCCATTCATGCTACAAGCCCTGCCAATCTCATCCTCCTTTACATGACCATTCTAATTATACCTAGCGAAAAGTACTAGTTATGAAGCTCCTCATTATGCAGTTTCCTCCAACCTCCTGTCACTTCATCTCTCTTCAGTTCAAATATTTTCCTCATCAGCCTCTTCTCAAACACCCTCAGTCTATGTTCCTCCCTTAATGTCAAGAGACCAAGTTTCACACCTGTACAGAACCACAGGCAAAATTATAGTTGTGTATATTCTAATTCTTATTTTTTTAGACAGCAGATGAGAAGATAAAAGGTTCTGCACGAATGGTATCAAGCATTATCCAAATTCATTCTCTTCTCAATTTCCTCCTGAATCAAGTTTTGATTTGTTATAGTCGTTCCCATATATCTGAACTATACCACATTTTCATAACATTTGTTACCTATCTTTATGTCATGATTTTTCCCTGCATTCTGGTGACAAGACAGCAACATATACTTAGTTTTCTCTGAGTTTACTTCTAGACCAACCTCCTTACTAGCATCAGTTAAAGTTTGTGTGTTTTTCTTTATGGTTATCTCACAGTAGATTCACATCATCGGCATAGGCTGATGTGTCCCATTTAATTTCAGTCCGACCTGGTTTCCCTGGACCTTCCTAATGGCATATTCTAAAGCAAAGTTGAAATGGAGTGGCGACAAAGCTTCTCCTTCTTTTAGACCATTTTGGATGGAAAACATGTCAGACAAATATTTACCTATATGAACTTTACTACACGTTTCGTTTAAACACAATTTAATCAGCCTAACTAGTTTCGTGGATACCCCAAACTCCATGAGAATATTGTATGATACTTCCCTCCTAACTGAATTGTAGGCTTTCTTGAAGTCTATGAATAGATGATGTACTATTCCACATTGTACTCCAATTTTTTATCCAGTATCTGACAAATGCAAAAATCTGAACTAATCACGAAAAATATATTAAATAAATCCCACTTCACAAATTCTTACATAATGAAATCCATCCTTGAGCCTATACTGTATGTCTAATTTACACCTTCTACTGATTTACCGAGAACTTTAAATGAATAAAGATCGTCTTTGTATCCACAATATTTATGGCTCCCAAACTTTGGTTTACAAAAGCAATGTTTTGGGGCTTCAGTAAATATATGTTATGTCAGCTATTTTGTGTGTCAGTATTAAGGTTTCAGTGGTGGAATTTTGTAACCAATGTGATGACACGTTGGGTTCTACAATAGGGACTTTCTTAACCAGGTGCACAGAGTTAGGTGACAGTGACTGTTGGGTTTGTTTTAGAAAAATATTATTGCTTACAGTCTGCTCAAATTGCATAGCTGATATGTGCACATAACGTAGCATCTGTTCCTTTCAGAAAGGAAATGATTTGTGAATCACTGTATCAATATTTGGGTGCCTATTAAAGTTCCAGATTTTGTGTGTGTGTCTGTAATGGAATAAATGGCCTGTAAAAGAGATATTCTTTCTTTATATATATATATATAGGGATGGGAGTTACCACTTTCTGACATCATTTTAGGCTGGGTTTCACTTTCTTAGGTTTTTAGGCAGTGATCGGTGTATGTCATTGACTTTGGAATTCACTGTACTGAATGACTTCAACAATGGTACATCCCACACACACTACCACATACTTCACTGGATTACACATATTACACAGATGGACATATGGTCCACAGTGCACTTACTTACTTACTCACTCACTCAAGGAGCTGAGCCCTTCTAGAGGAGCCGCCAATTCTGCAGATTCTCAAGAAAATCCCAGAATTTTATGGAACCTGAAGGTTCATTACCGTGTTCACAAGAGCCCTCCACTGGTCCCTATCCTAAGCCAGATCTATCCAATCCATACCATCCCATCCTATCTAAGATCCAATCTAATATTGTCCACCAACCTACGCCTTGGTCTTCCCAGTGGTCTCTTTCCTTCTGGCTTTCCCACCAATATCCTATATGCATTCCTAGTCTCCCCCATTTGTGCTACATGACCTGCCCACCTCATCCTCCTTGGCTTGATCATTCTAATTATACTTGGAGAAGAGTACAAGTTATGAAGCTCCTCATTATGCAGTTTTCTCCAACCTCCTGTCACTTCACCTCTCTCTGGTCCAGATATTCTCCTTAACACCCTGTTCTCAAACACCCTCAGTCTATGTTCCTCCCTTAATGTCAGAGACCAAGCTTCAGACCCATACAGAACCACAGGCAAAATTATATTACAGCGTTCCGTATATAATGCCTCCTATTTTTTTTCAAGAAAACTACAACAGATACAGAAAGCATAATAATGCAGTTAAATAGAGGAGGATTTCAGCTACTTACAGTTATTTTTCCACATAATCATCACCATTCGTTATGCACTTTTGCCTGCAATGAACAAGAGCCTGTATGCCGTGTCCGTAAAAGTCTGCGCCAGCAGAGGCTAGCCACTTTCTTACAGCTGCAATGACAGCATCATTGTCTGGAAAATGTTGCCCACGTAGTCCATCTTTCATAGGCTCAAAATCCATGGAAATGTGAAGGTGATGAACTGGGGCTATAAGGTGGATGTGGTAGGACAGTGCAGCCAAACTTTGCAATGTGCGCGGTGGTCGCCAAACTGGTATGGGGTCTAGTGTTATCGTGTTGCAAGCGAAAGGATGTCTGCTTCTCTGGCCTGACTCGGGAAATGCGGGCTTTCATCTTAGTCAGCGTCATTTTGTAGCGTTCAGAATTGACAGTCCCTGGTCATTATCTGCTGATCTGTATGGATTATGCGCTGTTCATTGTGAGGAGTGGCAGCTGAGCAGGGACGCCCTGGGCGTAGCTTGTCGTGCACTTCATTTTCGCCACTGTTGAAACGCACTACCTACTCCTCACTGTGCTGACATCCACTGTATTGTCTCCGTACACCTTTAGCAAGTGTCGATGGATGTCAATGGGTACAATTTGTTCGGCAGTGAGAAATTCAATAACACATCTGTGTTTCATACGCACTTCTATGTCAGACACCATTTTGGTAGACTGCTCTGCTGTCGCTATCTGTCGCACGACAACCAAACTAACAGTAGATTAGTGGGAAGGTTCAACCTTTACTACAACATCACCAACATCCATCTCAGACTTTACATATTAACACAAAAATATAGGAGGCATTATTTACGGAACGCCCCTAGTAGTTTTGTATATTCTAATTTTTATGTTTTTGAACAATAGATGAGAAGGCAAAAGGTTCTGGACTGAATGGTAGCAAGCATTACCAGAGTTCAATCGCCTCTTAATTTCCTCCTGAATCAGGTTTCGATCTGTTATCGTTGTTCCCAAATATCTGAACTGTGCCACATTTTCAAAACATCTGTTTCCCATCTTTATGTCATGATTTTACCCTGCATTTTGGTGATGAGACACTAACATATACTGAGTTTTCTCTGTGTTTACTTCTAGACCAACCTCTTTACTTGCGTCAATTAAAGTTTGTGTGTTTTCCTTTATGGAGTCTACATTATCACCCAGTAGATTCACATCATCGGCGTAGACCAACAGCTGATGTATCCCATTTAATTTCAGTCCCACCTGGTTTCCCTGGACCATCCTAATTGCATATTCTAAGGTAAAGTTGAAAAGGAGTGACGATAAAGCATCTACTTGTTTTAGACCATTCTCGATAGGAAATTTATCAGACAAATGTTTACCTACACGGACTTTACACAGTGCACTACTTGATAAAATACTCTGTGTAAGCAACAGCAGAAACAAAGGCCATAATTACATTCTCTCTACTCAACAATACTTTCTAATTGTATTAACTATTTGGTTCTAATTTATATAACTATTTTAAGTCCCTTTATAGTGATGCAGTAATGGCATATGCTCAAACAACATATCTAAAATAGTTCCTTTATATTGTTGCCTATTTCTTCTGATGAGGATCACAGTTGCCATGTTGTCTAAGGCATGAACTGTCTTCACCCAATTAAACAATTGGATCATGGGTTTGAATCCCACTTGAGGCATGGCTATCTGTGTTCATCCTGTGTTTGTGTTGTCCTGGGTAGGTAGCAGCTTTGTAAAAGGCTGATCCCCCATTCAAGGAGTTCTACCGACTGTCTGCAAAATTAATAAACTGAAGTGTAATGACATTTCCCAGTTTCCCTATGCTCCAGAGGAGGCAATATGAAATGAATAATAATATTAATCCCTTCTGATGATGACCAATAGCCAGAAGGCAAAACTTTCACTTACTCCTATTAAACTAGTTACATTTGAAAGACTTCTGCTTCTTATTTATATTTCAACCATTCTATTAGCACTAGATTTCCGTCAGTATGACATGACTACCTTCATATAATGCAGGAACACCCACCTAACTTCCATATCCTTATTTTAATGTAAAAAAGAAACTATGAAACAATGCTGTACAATTATATGGGTGAGTAAGGTGTTTCATGGAGGATACGATCTTGTAGGACTGATATTGTGTAGGTACCAATGTGCCAGAGGACCTTGCTGCCTACATCTCCCTATAAGCTGAAAATAGAGTAAGCAGGTTCATCTGAAACACTGGTACTTATCTAATAAACAAGTTACATTGTGTCATATCCCAGAAGACAATGATCTTCATATGTACCACTGTGAAAACCTCAAATCTGCGATGGTGATTCATGATTTCAGGCACTCATTATGATAACCTACTATGCAGCACAGCTTGGCATTGCCCTCAGTGTCGTTGACTCTAAAGCAAGTTATAATAAAGCACAGGCCAGTGCACTCGCTAGTAAAGAGTCAACATCTAGTATAAACAGTCATATGGGACACAAGATTCGGAGGGCAATCCCATTACAATAATCTGTAAGTAATTTGTTAAGTGGCCAATTAATGCATAATACTGTTAGTCCTTGTCAAACCCAAGGAATCATGAATAAGTGTAGCACTGTCTGGACATGCATATCAGCAATGCCATGACTCGTATTCAGGAGGTGCTGCATTGAAACTCAGCAGCTATGCGGATTGAAAGTTTTTGTAGTTTACATCAGAGTCTCCAGCAAATGCCTGGACAATACCCCAATTAGACCATGATTGCTTCCTTTGAAACCATTTTAATTCATTAATCATTTACCATTCAATACTAATAATCTATTAATTTGATTTGTCTCATTTTGGTCCATCACACTACTAATTACAGAGTGGATAATTTTCAGTCCAGTGTGACATACAAGTTTACAACGCTTCAGTCTTTTTCACCTTACATGTTTCGATTCAAAAGAATCATCCTCAGAGGCGCACCACTATGATCAGGAAACACTGTCACATAAGGTGTTTTAACCATATCCACTTAAGCTATGAATAATGCTCACTATATAAATTTTATTATTATCATGGTTGGTTTTGGTGTTTGTCCCAGGCATTCACGATGTCGTTTCTTGAAGAGTAGACTTACGTATGATGCTGTTTCTTTTAAGTGTATTTGCTGGGCATTCTGACTGGGATTTTCCACTGCACGCGATATTCACTTTTTCATACCTTAGCCTCCAAATGTATTTAAAATTGTATTAAAATTTTCTTTTGCATGTAAAAAATGAGTTATGATGTTAAAATATCGTGAGCCGACATTGGGTCATGTTGCTTTCCTCCTGATTGTGGGAGATGTCGTTTATTTCTCTTGATTTTACAACACATCACGCACATAAACTACACGACTAATAATAAGAACATATAATCAAGAGAAATAAACGACATCTCCCACCATCAGGAGGAAAATAACATGACCCAATTTCGGCTCATGATATTTTAACATAATAACTCATTTTTTACATGCAAAAGAAAATTTTAATACAATTTTAAATACATTTATGAAAAAGTGAATATCATATCGTGTGCAGTGGAAAATCCCAGTCAGAATACCCAGCAAATACGCTTAAAAGAAACAGCATCATACGTAAGTCTACTCTTCAAGAAGCACCGTCGTGAATGCCTGGGACAAACACGAAAACCAACCATGATAATAACAAAATTTATATAGTGAGCATTATTCATAGCTTAAGTGCATATGGTTAAAACATCTTATGTGACAGTGTTTCCTGATCGTAGTGGTGCACCTCTGAGGATGACTCCTTTGAAACGAAACATGTAAGGTGAAAAAGACTGAAGTGTTGTAAACTTGTATGTCACACTGGACTGAAAATTATCCACTCTGCTAATAATCTATTCTGGTTTATAAACTGGTCACCCTGTGCATTTTAAAAAATTTCACTTTTTGATGCCTTTTTTTTTGCCAATGGAATTTAATAAATAGAAATTAGTACTCAGTATGTAATATAGTTCCACTATCACTGTGGGCAAATTTCAGTACACTATATGCTTGCTCTCACATGCCAGACATCAAGCCAGTATCACTGAAGTGCTGAATCTGAATATAACAAAAACTAAGTTCAGTGTTTTAGATAGGAAGGAGAGTTCATCGAAAACTGCAGTTATCATACATGAAGACTCAAGGACTCAGAACGGTTCTCTCAATTCGTTCTGAATACTAATTAAGGTGTATTCCAACATAAGAGCCAGAGCACTGCAAGTTTTAATACTGTTTTTCACAATGTACATAGGCGAGTCAAATGAAAACCTTAAATATTTTTTTGTATTATTTATTGTGCACAAGAGGTACAAAGCTGTATAACTTTTCAACATAATCTCCCCCACGTTCAATGCAAGTCCTCCAGCGCTTACAAATTGCATGAATTCCTTTAGAAAAAAATTCTTTTGGTAGTCGCGCAACCACTCATGTACCGCGTGGCATACCTCTTCATCAAAACAGAATGTCTTTCCTCCCATTGCTTCTTTGAGTGGTCCAAACATATGGAAATCAGTTGAGGCAAGGTCTGGTGAATATGCCAGATGAGGAAGACACTCAAAATGCAGGTTGTTGTATGGGCAGTATGGGGCCTTGCAATGTCATGTTGCAAAAGGATACCTGTGGACAGCAATCCACGTTGCTTTGATTTGATTGCAGACCAAAGATTATTTTTTAGGAGATCTGATTATGATCCACTGGTGACAGTGGTCCCTCCTTTTTCATCCTAAAAGAGAGTCAGCATAACCTTCCCTGCTGATGGTTGTGTTCGAAACTTCTTCAGTTTTGGAGATGAGGAATGGCGCCATTCCTTGCTAGCTCTCTTCGTTTCCAGTTGGCGGAAGTGAACCCAGGTTTTGTCCACAGTAACGATTCTTACAAGGAAGTCATCACCTTCTCGTTCAAAGCGCCGCAGAAGTTCTTCACAAGCATCAATACGTCGGTCTTTCAATTCAGGAGTCAGCTGCTGTGGCACCCATCTTGCAGACACTTTGTGAAACCAGAGCACATCATGCACAATGTGGTGTGCTGAACCATGACTAATGTTTAAACTTGCTATTTCATTAAGTGTCAATCGGCGGTTTTCCCTTACTATGGCTTCAACTGCTGCAGTGTTCTCTGGAATCACAACTCGATGTGCCTGACCCGGACAAGGAGCACCTTCCACTGAAGTCACACCATTTGCAAACTTCCTACTCCATTCGTACATTTGCTGCTGTGACAAATATGCATCACCATACTAAAACTTTATTCTTTGATAAATTTCAATAGGTTTCACACCTTCACTACACAAAAACTGATTAACAGAACACTGTTCTTCCCTGGTGCAAGTCTCAAGTGGGGCAGCCATCATATACTGGTGCTGTGATGGTGTACATGCATCTGCACTATCCTGCAACCTACAGGCCATTCTGCACGCTGTTTGTAGCACACTTTCCAACTTACAGGATAATGGTGCGAAATTTCGATTTTTTATTACAAATTTAAGGTTTTCATTTTACTCACCCTCATATTTGTGTAAATTTGTATTCTCTGCACTTGTCAATATTAAAACTAAAGGTGCTAAAGGACTAAAGTTAACTGAGGATGAAATGTAAGTATGTTTATCTGAAATTCATGCCAACCTTAAAGAACTACATAAATAACAATCCCATGTTACACATTAAAAGTTTGCCTTAATTGATTTTATTTACTTTATTATTTCATATTTTTTATAAAAGACATTCCATTGATTTTTATTAACATCTCTGTATTATCATATCAGAAGGGACGTCCAGAATTGTAATGCATAATCTTAAGGTGCCTTCCGCTAAAAGGTGTGAGAGCCACTGGTCTAGATACTAACAAAGTAACTCATAAAATAGAATAAGCAAATTAAGAGACTGATGTTTCATGAAAAATAGGAATATCACGATGGCATATTATCGTCTTATTCCTCATTCTACTTCTTATGATGCATTTTGTGACACAAGTGGATTATGGAATATTATAAGTATAAATAAAGATCTCAGTAGATTCTAAAGTGTTATAACTATGGTGTCTAATGCTCAGAATTACTGGCGTTTGGACTTTTTCCATCACCCAGTATTCTAGAGACTAGAAAACAACGTTTCGGAAACTGGATCTGTTTTCGTCCTCAAGTGAAGTTGGAAACACTTACTCAGTTGGGTCCATTAGAAAGAGCTAACCTCAATCATTGGACAAAGTGTTGTGTTTTCTAGTTTCTAGAATACCAGATGATGGAAAAAGCCCCAAAACCCAGTAATTCCAAAGATCTCAGTGCTATGATATGACAAGGAAAAAATAAATTCCTGGTAAAGTTGTGTATTTAGGGTCAGAAAAGACTACTTGCAATAGCAAGATTGTTCAAGTAGTGATATTTTCCATCAGTATGAGTATCTTCTTTTGTGCAGCATGTCATCTACATCTTAAACATATGAATGATTGCACCTGCTTATACGCATGTTTCATTGTTTTAGATCATATGTTGTTTTCCATACAGGACTGTCACTTTCTTATAGACATTTCTACACAGTATTGTTGAATAAGTATGTTGAACTTAACACACTAATTGTTACAATTAATTTTCATTCATAGCTCTTCATGTTAACTGCATGTATATCAAATGAAACATACATTTTTCACTTACTAATTCATTATATTTTGTTATTTTTCAGATTCTGAGGATGTACAAAAAAAAAACAACCGAAGACTGTATGGGCTCAGAGAGCATTAGGTTCCATTGCATCTCCTACTCTGCAGTCAAATTACATTCATCTTAACTCCTCCTTGCCTCAACTTCGGCAAAGTTTGTAAAATAAATAGCCATTTTCTATGGCCTGTTATTCATACCCCACTTGTCTTCAAAATATGTTGACCCAGATTTGATGATATGTAGCTTCAGAATATATGGATTTTAGGGAAGGTTGGACTGCTTCATTGCTGGTTTAGTGCCAACAGAAGTTGGGTAAACAGATCCCAGCATAGACTTTAAACACTCATTTTATGAAAAAGCCATAAAGTAACCAACTTTTTGTCAAGTAAGGTGAAGAGGATAAAGAGTAAAACTAACGGACTCTATACGTTCAACGCCATTAATATCAAAACCCACCATTTCACACAGCCCTAAGCCAATTTCATTCACCTCCCATCATCATAACCCATCTCCATCCTAATATAACCCGTTCATCTTTTTGTTCTTCCAAGTGGTTGTTTACAAATTCTGGATGCACTCATTGTCTGAAATATCAGTATACATCTACTGGACTACACAGTGCTACATCCCAGAAAACAGCTCTGTCATAGTCACCACTGTTAGAACCTTAAATCTAACATAGAAGTGTTGTAAGCCTAAGAAAACTGAGGTAACTAGGTTGGATTTATTGTTCTCACAGCAATAACTGTGATACTGTATAGTCTGGCAGAAGTTACCGACATTCCATTGAAACAGTGGTGAACCTCTACCACATACATGGCAGCACGCCCTAGAAAACAGCACTTCTGAAAATAACTTAATCTGAACAAACATTGTCTGTTATCACTGACATGATAAATTGCCATGCAGGAATTTTCCAGTCCACAACTTTCCAATACACCCACTCCCCCATATGTCTTCTTGGCGTAGTGCTTAATTAGTTAAGCACAGGAACAATTTTACCTTTTCGGTCAACCTTTTACCTTTCCAGTCAAAATCTGCTATTGTCATTTTCACTGAATAATTAGCTCTTAACATACTGTGAATGTGATATGGTGTGCTCTGTGCCATTTCTTTTACCTTAACCTCATGAGCTACAGGAAGAGGAATACCTATTAGGCATTATTAAGTAATTTTGTAACTTACTAGTAATATGTTTCATTGTATGTGTTAACATATTTATTGTCAGCATGTTCAGTGAAAACATTATCCTACATGTTACATACATAAATCTAAAGTTACTGTAATGGTAATATTCAGAGATAGTAATGCATATACCTACATGCATCAAATTATGGTTAGTAGTATAAACAAATCTTAGGATTGAACTGAATGTAGATGTTGTCTATGTGCATTGGAAATGCGCACAAATACAGCCAGCATGTAAATTTTGGTGGTGCATTTTTTATTATATTACACATTCCTTTTACAGCAGATATTTAAAAAATGATACACATTCTGAATATTAAATCTTGATCTAGACAGTATATTTGAAGTGCTTTATATAGAATTTTGTATAAAAATAATTAGCGTTGATCCCATTAGAAATCAAAATAATATTTATTTCCATAGGTACCGATGAAATAAACAGTGCCATTAAACAGAACTGACAGATGTAAGATTTGAGGTTTTCATGGTGGTCACTATGAAGAAAACAGTCTTCTGGGATGTGGCTGTGTGTAGATATTATCTTAACCGATGTTTCAGAGGAATGTATCGCCTCCCATCTTCAGGGTAGAAGACAAAAAGAAATCTGCAAGCGAACCAGGGTGAGCAGGTGGAACAGAATGAGTCCAGTCGAGTAAACCAGCTGCATAAGAGTAGGAAGAGACGTGAGAGGGGGGAGGAGAAGGGTCTGGGGAAGTGGGCCAGCAGGTAGCAGGCTAGAGCACATATAGAATATGTGTCAGGGGGGAGAAATGGCAAGGTTAAATGGAGGGCATTAACCCTGAAGCTCGGGATTGCGAAGGGAGTCGGGCATGGACCTGCGCGGCCTTGTGGATCTGGCGTCAAGTCCTGGAGGTTTCTTGAGGGAACAGATGAGAGGCTTCCATGACTTGCTGAGACAAGATCCGATATATGGGTCGCATCATTAGGGAGGCCATTGAGATTGAACTCCATCCCGACAATATGAACAGAGAGGCAGGGTTTTGTCTCAACAAGTCATGATGCTATCACAAATTTCAATGTCTAAAACACTTAAAATGAATATAAAGTAATGGAATATACTATACCCAAGTTAAAGGTAAATCTTCATTAATGTTTATAATCACAGGGCTGTCAGCACTTCTGTATCTCTTTATGGCAATGTTATGACTAGATATATTTCAGAATGTGATATCATTCATCTTTCATAATACAGTATATAAATGTCGAATGTTACAGTAAAGGTGTGCAGTGCTGTGTTGTACTCTCCTGGGTACTTTAAGGAAGCTTCCATTGATTCATTTCATTATCAGTTTAATGCATGACTTTATTACTTGAACCCACTTTCAACTTTGTTAACATTTAAAGCACAGCATTTAACTGGAAAACTCGGTACTCCAAACTTCTATACCATATTTCTACCCAATCTGTTTAAAACACTGCATTTATGAATGTTGATTTGGAGTTAAGTCAGTCATTCTTTCTTAGAGAAGATTATGGGTCCCTGTACATGAATCACTGTAAAGATGAAAAATGATTTATTTCATTTTACTTTAGTGTAGGAAAGTGTGGTACTAAGCCTTCCACACAATTTCCCATATGTATTATTTGAAAATATATTTAAGAACAGTACATTTCTGTATACACATATGTTCACATTTGGTCTTGAAAGGGGTTCAAAAGGCATGCTGAATTTTTGTGTAATCAATATTAATCAAGATGCTGACACAGAACCTACTGAACCCTGCACTAAACTCCTTGAAAATGGGCCAAGAGGGAAAACCTTACTTGGATATGTTCATCATCATCATCAGTAATCTGTCAGACGACAGGTCCACAGTCTCTTCCAAAACAGTTCCTCCACTTCATGCAATCTAGAGCTTTCTCCTTCAAATGACAGTATCCTCTTCTGTCCCCAAGGTCATCCAGCATATTCTTACGTCTTCTTCCTCGTCTTCTGGTCACTTCTATCCGCCCCTCTATCTTTCCTTCAATAACTTCTTTTAGAAGGCAGTTTCTGCGTAAAACATGACCAATCCAATTAGCCTTCCATTTTCTTATTTCGTGTAGGATATTCCTCTGCTCACTGACTCTAATTAACACTTCTTCATTTCTCACATAATCGGTCCAACTGATCTTCTCCATCCTTCTCCAACACCACATTTCGAAGCTTTCCAGGTGTTTCTGATCTACTGCCCTAAGTGTTCATGTTTCAGCCCCATACAGAGCTATGCTCCAAATGTAGCATTTCACTAGTTTCTTCCTCAAATTTAAGTCCAATTTGCTGGTAAAAAGATTCTTCTTCTTGCTAAATGCAGCTTTTGCCATGGCAATCCTGGATTTAATTTCACTAGTACACCTTCCATCATCTGTTAACAAGCTACCCAAATATTTAAAACATTTCACATTCTCCAGTTGTTTTTGGTCTATCTTTATTGTGACTGGGGTTGGTTGTCTCGAAATTTTCATTACTTTTGTTTTCTCCACATTCATTTCCATGCCATAGCACCTTCCAATTTCAATTAGTCTATCAATCATGCCCTGTAGCACAGTTTCTTCCTTAGCCATTAACACAAGGTCATCTGCATATTTCACAGTTTGAATAATTTGCCCTCCTACTTTGAAGTCACCGAGCCCATCCAGAGCTTCCTTGGTAAGGCATTCGCTGTACAAGTTGAACAGAATTGGTGATAAACAGCATCCTTGTCGAACTCCTCTTCCAATCTGCACACTTCCTGTCTCCCCCCTGTCCAGTCGTACTCTAACTTTCTGATCCATGTACAATTTGCTAATCAATCTTCTTTCATGCCAATCGATACCTGTTTCTTTCAGGATCTGCATTAATTTGGTCCAGTTTACCCGGTCAAATGCCTTCTGCCAGTCTATGAAGCAAACACACAGTTCTTCATCTATCTCCAAAGTTCGTTCCGCTATAATTCTCATCATCCCAATTGCATCCCTGGTTCCTTTTCCTCTTCTAAATCCAAACTGATCTTCTCCAAGTACATCCTCTATTTTCCTTTCAATTCTTCTTTTAAGTATCTTTGCTATTATCTTTGCTGTATGTGCAATAAGACTTATTGTGCGATGGTCGCTGCATTTTGTAGCTTTTGTCTTTTTCTTTAAGGCAATCATTGTAACTTCTGTAAAGTCCTTGGGCCACTCTCCACTTTCATATATGGTGTTCATTAGTTTTGTCAGTGTTTTCAAACCACCTTCTCCCAGTAACTTGAGCACATCTCCAGGTACATCATCATCTCCTGTAGCCTTTCCCTTCCTCATTTCCTTGATAGCTTTTTCCACCTCACTTTGTAAAATATATGGTCCTTTCTCGTCTGTATCTACTTCTTCTTCCGGTTCAACTTCTAAGGTTTCTGGCCGATTAGGTCGATCATATAGTTCTGAAATATAATTTTCCCAAATTTTCAGCACTTGCCTCTGATCTACTATTCTATTCCCCTGGGAGTCTTCGATGCCAACATTTTGAATCCCATGATTCTCTTTCCATCCTAGTTCTTTTGTCTTCATGTACATCAAATCATAACGGCCTGTTCTTTGAAATTCCATAATCTCATTACATATCTTCTCAAGATATTCCTTTTTGGCCCTGTCCGTGGCTCTTTTCAATTCATTCCTCAGTCTCCTGTATTTCCTCCTGCCTTCTTCATTGTTGACATTCTTCCATTTCCTTCGCTCCTCCATTTTACTCATCATCTCCTGTGTAACCCATGGTTTTCTTGCTATCTTCTCAACTTTACCTACCAAATCACTGATAGTATCTAACATGCATTCTTTTATATCGTTCCACTGCGCTTCAGCATTTCCGCTTTCACCTTCAATTGCACCGAGTTTCTCTTCTAGAGTCTCTTGCACGCTTTGTCTTTGAGCATATAACTTCTCCAAATCCCATCTGGGTCTGCGCTTTCGAAATCCTATAATTTTCTTCAACCTGGTTCGGAACTTGGCAACCAGCAAGTTGTGGTCAGAGTCAATGTCTGCCCCAGGAAGCGTCTTCACATCCTTCACACTGTTTCTGAATCGATGTTTCACAAGGATGTAGTCCAGCTGATGCCTCTTCCAATCCCCAGGTGCCTTCCATGTGTAAATTCTTCTCTTTGGCTTCTTGAACCAAGTGTTGGTAACAATCAATCCATTTCGTTCACAAAAGTCAATAAGCATTTGACCTCTGTGATTCCGTCTTCCTAGTCCATGTGATCCAACAATATTCTGATATGGTTCATCTCCAACAATGCTGTTCCAGTCTCCCAATATGATGCTGTTTGTGTCTCCTCTTCCATCTTCCTGAAGAATTTCTTCAATTGTGTCATACACTTTTTCCACTTCATCATCTTCATACTCTGATGTTGGCATGTACACTTGTATAATCAGTATATCTACCGGTTCCGCCTTTAACTTCAGAGCAATAATTCTGTCATTACAAGCAATCTTCTTAACAACACTCCTCACTACACTTTTATGCACCACTATTGCCACACCTCTTTCAGCCCGTTCACCTCCGGAATAATACACTGTATAATCACCGCTTCTTATTTCACCTTGTCCTTTCCACCGCACTTCGCTGACACCTAGCACAGACACTTCATTCTTCTGCATTTCCGTTTTCAAATTCTCCAATTTTCCTGCTTGATTCAAGGTCCTGACATTCCATGTTCCAATCTTGTATCCATGCTGTTTCTTCTGATCTTCGCACTTTTTCTTGTTGTAACGCCTGCATGACATTTCCTCTAGAAACACTCCCCCCCGGAGATCCGATTGGGGGAGTAGTTTACCTCCGGATTGTTTTGCCTCCAGAGGAAACATCTCGCATATATGGTATCTCTGTTTTTGGAAAGAGACTATCCAGGAAAAGTGATAATGTGGTAGTTTTTCCATTTGCTTTCCACATCGCATTACAACAGCCGTTCAAACCACTCTGGTCACGCCTGTTGCTATACGAACTTGAACCATCTCGAGCATCATTTGCTCTGTGCTTCAAGTCGTTACTGATGACGCTGCTTCTGGCATCAGTTTTTGGTGTCTCTCTTCGTCTGATGCCTACCCTTTGACCTGTCCAGCAAGGGAGGCCCTGCCAGTAGCTACACTACCGCTGGTATAGCTCTCAGGGTCCTCGGCATACTTGGATATGTTATTTCCTAAGAAATTGGTTAATCAGATATAGGTTAAGTCTAATAAATTTATAAAAAGCCAGAGATTCTATTTGCTGTTTCTGGTTATTTCATTTGCCTC